TTAGATAATAAAAGCATAAAATATCTAATAGCAATATTACTGGTGTACCGATGAAAAAAATCAGTGTAAAAGCATCTATAAAAGATCAATGATAAATACCTTTTGCACACAAGATATAAAATATCACCTTATGGGACTCAAGGGTCCACTGTCTTGAAGGGTAATAAAAAATATATATAGCTATTAGTTAATCACATCTTTATGCTGTATGGCTGAATCCAGCCAACACTTTACACAGTGTGCTAGTTAACTGGATTTTGTAGGATTTTTTTATACTGAGGGTTGTTTTGCTATATAAGGTTCTGGATCAAGTGTAAGGTATTTTCCACTGCTATCTTTCATCCTGACTAAGAGCACAGATTCAATGTAGAAACCTAAGGATGAGGCACTAAAATCTCACATATTAACCCTTTCAATTAGAGGAAAAAGAAAGATTATACATGGTGTGAGACAGAGGCAACCAGTCATCAGACCCTCGCAAGGAGATTAACAAGTGATTGTTATGAGAATGCTTGTGATGGGAAAATATGTGTGTGTGTGTTTGTGTGTTTGCAAGTTTGGAAGGGTGAAGGGAGTTTGGACTTCTGCTTTTGATTTTCATACCTCTGATAAAATTTCATCTCCAACGGGAAAACAGTTTATCCGGCCTTCCGGAGTTCTATTTAATGGAAGCCTTCAGGCGGTGACGGTGTTAGGACGGCTCTGCTATGGCCGGCATGCAGATCATAAATGAATCAGCAAATCGTTTTCGAACAACGCCTTCAAAAACAACTCTGAGCTCTGAGCCACGTCTTAAGTACATATTCCCACTGTCTTACTGCGTAGGACTCCATGCAAATTATTCCACTTTATGTGCCATTTAAACATCAAAGTTAGAGCTAAATACAAATCAGATAAGCATATTTACAAGTGTAAAACACAAAGAAATCTTTATGGGTTAAAACTGTGAGCAGAGGTACAGAGTGCATTCAGCTATATCAGCTATGACCACTTTAAAATAAAAACATTGCTGGTATGTGGAGTTGTAAAATGTCATTAGGCTATAATAACAAACCAAATCCTGTGGCTGCATAAAAATAGCTACAGTAGGTCTATATTTTGACATCAGAAAGAATTGGTGTTTTCACACTAACAAATACACAGTTGTGAAACAGCTGTGCATTCACTGGCAGATTGCAATGCAATGCCTCTTCATTCAAACATTCAGACAGTCAAATGTATATACACAGAAATTATACAAGAACTATGAATATGCTTTAAATAAGGTGACATAACATCAATTTGTATTTACAATAAATATGCTGATGATCATATAACATCCTAAAAAAAACCTTTACATTCTGAACAGAACGTGGCCCAATATATTCTAAAACAAATTATTTTCATATGGTTAAAGCAGGGGTTTGTTTGAGAAATACTGATGGAAAAATGTCCTCAATCGTTCAATAAAGGCACATATTAACATCACTGAGGCAAAATCCATAACTGCATACTGAACTCTGATCTCTATATTCCACATTCACATTCAGCATTTGTTGCATTTTGTTTAGAGCTACATCTTACATCCACCTAAATGTTTAAAATCATGACGTGAGGCAGAACTACCTGCCACTTTATGACTATAACAGTTATGAAAGCACTGCTATATACTGTGTTTTATCACCTAATAATTTGCAAAAGAAAAATGTGATGATTAAAACATAATGGACAACAACGTATCAAACAACAAACAATATTATAAATGAGAAATTCCACTGGTATTACAGGAATGATGCAGGAAAGTGCAACATGTGTGATATAAAAAGTGTCAAGGGAGGAAAAACTATTAGGGTGAACACAGCCCTTCTATTTGCTTGGGATTTAGGAAAGTCACCATCTCCCGAATGCCGTCTTCACAAATTGTGGTCTGAGAAGCTGTACTCAGACTGTCTCCCTCCTCTTTAAATCTTCTCCACGTCTCTGAAAAATAAACTTTAATTAATATAAAACTGTCACCAGAACCACAATTATCATATTAAAATAAGTCAGGAGGATTTAACAAAAAGGCATCATGAAACAAACCTTCATCAAGTGTTGTAAGTAATGTGTAATTCTCTGGATGATCTATAATATCTTTTCTTTGAAGGTCACCAATTTCCATTAATTGTGAAACCCCTGCATAAATAAAGAACTCAGATGAGAATCATACATCAGTGCAGAAATACTGTATATTTGTCTTAAATAGTTCGACATTATGGAAAATATGCTTATTCGTTTTGTTGCCAACATATACATATGTCGCTCTGACACGTTCATGTGTTTCTTTTAAGCTGGAATTATGCTTCTGCTGAGATACATTAACCCTTTAGCTGTAGGTCACAGAGGCCCGCAGAGGAGCCGTAGCGTTGAGCAGACCTGCATCAACAAATGTGATTGGTTGATCCAACATCCTGTTGTTTTCTGTATTTTTTCTCAAAGAGTGTGGGTGTTCATTTCAGAACAGTACTGCCTCAAGTGATCTTGTAGCATAAAGACCGTAAACAGGGGGAAAACAGCTAGCCTATCTCTGTCCAAAGCTAACAAATGAACACGTTGTATTCAATCTGTACAAAAATGTGCAAAAGTTCTGGTTTTGTGGGGTGTTATGTGCTGGCTAGCTGTTTCCCCCTGCTTCTAGTCTTTATGCTAAGCCAAGCTAAGCTAACAGGCCGCTGGCTATAGCTTAATATCTAATGAACAGATATGGTGATATCAATCTTCTCACCTAACTCTCCGCCATAAAGCGATGAACCGTAAAGCCTATTTACCAAAATGTCGAGCTATTCCTTTAACGTAGTTCCCAGCAGTAGTCACAGTACCTTCTACAGCCTTCCAGACTTGCACTTCAACCTCAGCAGTACTTTGTCTTTCAACAGCAATGATCCTAACTGTGTTGGGTGGGTCAACTTTCAAAGATGATTCTACTTTATACACCAAGAGATTATTTTTGTATCCGAGATAGCACTGAGTCTGGTTACTTTCAGCTTTACTTTCTGGACAGAAAAAACAGAAAGAGGTTGCAGGGATGATGTTTACAGCCGGTCAACATCACAGTCAGTACAAACAGTTCATTATATTATGAGCTGTGTTTGACTACCTGGACAAGTCTTGCAGCACTTTCCTGCTGATTTCAGAGGATGTTGGCATGGGTACTGGCTGGGGCATGTGATGCGTTTGCAGTCCTGCAGGCCATCAGTACAAGTGCACAGGATGCATTCCAGGACCTTCCCCAAAACTGGGTGCCACATGTCTCCATGAGAGTATGTCTTGCCATTGTACAAACACGCTGAAAAGAAATGGAAAACATCTGAGCATCGTGCTACATATGGAAGCGATCGAGAAGTTGTGAGGAACATGTCCATAAAATCAAATACCTATACAGGATCTTTCTGTTTTGACAAAGTCTCACCTCTTTGGTGTTTCCTCTGCAACAAAATCTTCACGGTGGTCTCTGAAGCCCCTTTGAGGTTAAGTTTACTGAGGCTCAGGCCTCTGGGAGAAGTCCTGACCCTGGGTGGAGTGGCACGGTCAGACCGCACCCTGCTCTGCTCTCCAGAACACTGGTCGACTGAATGTCTCTTTTGTAGACACAGATACAATAAAACACAGTTATCTTTCATCTATTCAGCTATTGGCCTCCCTTCTTTCCCCTGAGTGATAGCTGAAGGAGCATCATCGTAAATCACGACCCACATCTCAGATTTTTTCAGCAATTCAAACAGAACGACTCTGCAGCTCAGTTTGATTATCAGGCCAAGTGGTCCAAGGATCTTGAGGGAAAATCTGAAGCCTTTATCTTTAACAGTCGCAGCAAAATGGATGTTTCAGAATAAGATAATCAAAATATTGTGATGCCATGTTGAGCAAATTATCCTTGTGATCCTTAAGAGAAAATTACTGATTTGCGTGTCCCCTTGCACAGGGAAGTCAAAGGTCAGTGTCATTTATAGAGCCACTCCCCTGAAACTTAAAGTGATCGCAGTATCAGTATCCCAGTTCAAGCACACTTCATCAGAGCAGACACTTGTCTGTGAGAGTCCCAAGTCCCATAATTAAAGTGCAGCAACTGATGAAACCACTTTGCTATCAACCACTACATTTAACATATATTTTCAAAGACAGGCAGGTTTCATATGAAAGCACAGTCTAAGATTTGTTCATTTTGTGTATAAATCTGCAAGCACATACAACGCCTCTGTTCAGTTGCTGGTTTCCATCCTCAGTTGATGAGGACCCACTGGTGCCATGATCTAAAGGCCAAAGAGAAAAATACCAAAATCAAGTGTGAGGACACTGTAATTAACATATATGGCAGCCATTAACATTAGCGGTGGAGTAGTATTCAAAATCAAATTCAAAATCTATTCTGACATAAATATCGAAGAAAAAAAAAACATTCTTATTAATCAGGCATATGCTCAGGACTAATCTACATGTTAAATTCATTTCATAGTAATTTTCTCAGTTTGGATGAGTTTGCCTACCTTTACACACCAAACAGCAGGTATCTGGAACTGAGACTGGTGAGGAACAGGTGATTGGTTGGCATGTTTTCAAAGCACAGAAGATGTTTCCATTCTGAGAAAAGAATGGGAGGAAAGTTTTTGTATTTTTTTATATTTCGTTCCAGTTGTATGTTCTCCAAAAGTTAAGACTTAAGTACTCCAAGGTTTCTGCAGGCCTCTCTAAACTTGTTTATGTATTTATCTCTCTAGGACTAAAAGAGACAAAGTCCAAACAACACAGTCGTAGTGTCTAAGAGATCTAATGTTCTTAAACATTACATTTATCTATTTATATTTATTATTTGTAGAGACATTACATTTATTTGGCTTTTGTCCACACATAGACTCACTCGCTCATCAGAGGTGGCTGAGATAGGTGCTGTCTTGCGAGGAAGCACTTAAGGGTTCAGTGTCTTGTTCAAGGACACTTGAACCAGCAACCCTACCAATAATGGGCATAATCCATTTTAAAAACTGCAATAAATCATAATCATAATCCCACTGTCTTCTGTGATATAAAGGAAACTAATGCCATAGCAATAAGCAAAGCTATGAACGTGTTATATTTAAATCAAGGCTTGAACAGACACTGTAGTGAAAATGGTTACTATTGACTATGAGAAATATTATAATATATATAATATATTTAAAAAAAGGATAAACAGGAGTTTTACTGTCCTTAATGTATACTAGGAATCATTCTAACAGTCAGTCTATTGTTATGTGTTGTCTCCTTGGAAACCTAGAAACATCCGTTAATAAACACCAATTAACAACTCGTAAAATTAACTTCTCACATCACATCATGTGGCTTTTTA